CTTATTACTGGGCATTTCAATTTGGAAAGTGTACACCATCAGGATGCATGACAACAAGGATAACAGAAAAGAGCAGGAGCAGTACACACACATTCTTTCAGCATTTTAAAAAATATATTTATTTACTATGCCGCCAATTTCCCCTATAAGGCAAATATACTGTCAAATATACCACCAATAGAAATGTCATCGAAATTCTCAAACATCCTGAAAGACAGAAACCTTTTTACAGGAGCAGAAAAGCATACATTTTTACTGCAGAAATTCATGATTTGCTTCGCAACCCATGCGTTAGCAGATGCCATGATAGCAGAGACATGGCTATGGGGCTCATGTAGACCATGGCTATAGTCAACAAAGGTTCAGGTCAGTTGCTTTTAACCTGGCACCTTCCAGGAAGGTAGCTCACTACTCTCATTCTTTCCTTGACAACAGGGCCAGGACCTTATTGGTTGGGAATAACAAAAGTTGTGCTCCAATATTTTGGGGAGGAATCAGGCTGGGGGAGACTGACTGATAAAACTGCCTTTGGAGAGAAGCTACACTTAATTCTTCCTATTTGTTGATATCTCAATGTTACGGAAACGTTTTAACATCAAACATGCTAACAGCCGTCTCAGTCTTGATCCCAGATTAAAGATTATCTCTTGGCCCAGTCCTTGCACACACTTAACCACAACTTTACTATCAACCCCAATAGAGGATGTTAATCTCAATAAGGACACAATCAGCAATCACCAAATGTTTTGAGGGTCCTGTTATCCTTCTGCCCCAGGCAAGAGGAATAGTCTTTGTGTCAGAACTCCTTTGAAATTCCTAGTTCCTAAAATAGTTTCTCCCTGCCATCCAGGTTGCTCTATTTGACAGTAAATGAACTATAGTCACCTTCTGCCTTCTTAATGAGTCACCTACAAAGCTTGTAACCATTGACCTGCAAGAACACCCCCCCCCCCAAAAAAAATAAAAAAATAATAAAAGAGAAGTTGTGAGCAGCGTTCTAGGATTTGAACTCGTAGGGGAATTTTCATGGTATTAAAACAGTCACGGTTACTTATAATTTGGATCAAAGATGCAATGTGAGACTGTGGAAGATGATTCTAACCTGAAGTTGCAGCATAACTGCCCTAACTCAGACTATGAAGAGCTATGCAGAAAACAGCACTGGATAGCAACATGATTTTAATTTAGGTCTCCCTGGCTGCAGATGCTATTACACTTCTGTTTTCACTCTTTGAAGCAGGTAAGAGAGGAGACCATGTTGACTTAACATAATGGTGGAAGCATTGAAAGTAGAAAACTCTTGTGCCTGCAAGCAGGTGTTTTGTCATTTATCTAGTAAAGAATTGTAAGGTCAATTTCAGGCCCCAGGCTCAGAACTCTTGCCTTTGCTTCATAGGGTAGAAGTAGGCAGACCATGGATGTAAGACAATCTACCGGCCAGGAAATGGGTGCCTATTTGACAGCTGCTACATTTTATAAATACAGATGGCTAATAACAATGGGGGGAAAATAAAAGGAAATGCCACCTGTCTGGATGGGAACTTGTTTATGCATTACTGTACATTTGAATATATGGCGGTACTTGGAAATAAGCGAAATCTTTTATCAATAAAAGCCAACATAAGAGGGGAGAAAGAGAGGGAGGGGGTGGGGGGGAGAGGGAGAGAAATTTTGTCTTCAGGAAAAAATACTAGAGTTTGGTTGAAAATCTGAACTAAGAAATGAAATAAGATTACTGTAATAATTTCTTACAGCCCTAATCAAAAATATGCCTGAAGCAATTTACTTAAATGTTCTAATGCTTCAGTCTTGTATATATGGATTTTAAAAGGAAGCATAACACTAAAATGCCTTATAGTGAATACATTTACTGAACTATAAATGTGCCAGGACATAGAATTTGTGGCAGTCGTCCCATTGTTGAACACAATGAGTCAACCAAATCAATTCACTTAAAATATTGGGGATCTTTTTCTGAAATCAATAAATAATATAATCCAAATTTGTCATGGCAAAACATGGAAAAGGCAAATATGCCTAAACACATTCATGTACATACACAAGTAGAAGCCATACCAAAAGCTGCCTAAGATGTTTTAGCATCAGAGAATGAAAATTGCCTAAGCAAGTGTCTACTCAAGCAAAATATATTAAACTGTGAAGAAACTGGCCATTTTTAAAAACAACATATAGACTCAGCAACCTAATCATTGTGCCGTGTTCCCTCTGGTGAAGAGGAGCCTTTTCCTGGGCTGAAAGGGAGTGTTTCTCTAATTGAGAAAATGCAAATTTCATCAGTATAGCATATCAACATAATACCTTGTTCATGGCAGTGTTTATTTTCCTAGCTGTTCAGGTATATTTCCAACGCTTAAAGCTTTTTATAGCTGGCCTCTTATTCGGAGGTGCTGCACTTAGGAGAATAAAACAACAAATAAAACATAGACCTCCCTACTGACATGTCTTCCCACTTGATTTACAGTAGGTATAGGTTACTATGGTAGAAGGAAGGGTGAGCAAAGCAGCAAGTGTGTTTCCTACTTGGCCCATCCCTGCTAAAATTTTAAGAGAGAAAGAATCTTTAAACCATTCTGTATTTATATCTAGGATACTGTAAGTATCAATAACCTTATGTTGTTCTGCAGGATTGGACGGAAAGTTGCTGCTTTTAAAAATGTAAACCTACTTAAGTCATACAGAAACGAATGTTCTCTCATTTTTGCCTATCCTAAATACCGAACAGAAACTATGTGAAGGGAGATGAGAAACAGTTTGAAATCAATAAGTAAGAAATAATGTATGAACTTATCCAGACACCTGGAACTGGGTACAAACTAGTGCTTTATAGCACTCTCTGAATGGTTTACAATGTCAGCCCCCAACAATCTGGGTCCTCATTTTATCAACCTCAGAAGGATGGAAGGCTGAGACAAACTTGAGCTGGTCAGGATCGAATTCCTGGCTGTGGGCAGAGTGGGCAGGCTGCAATATGCATTCTAACCACTGCAGCACCAGGGCAGTGGTGGGTTGCTCCCGGTTCTGTCTGGTTCTATAGAACTGGTAATAAAATCAGCAGGAGGCTCTGCCCACCTGCCGGGACGTCATAAATGACAATCTGTGCATGTGCAGAAGCGCGCGGCCCCATTGCAAACCAGTAGTAAAGGTAAGTAGTAGAGGTAAGTAAAGGGAGAATGGCGGCATATAAATCGCAAAAAAAAAAGTAGAACCCACCCCTACACCAGGGCTATTAAGCTTTCAAGTGAACCAGGTAGCTGCATCTGGAATTGCTCCCCAATCAGTCTATAGAGGACTGCCATCTGATTCAATTTAGTGGAATTTGCAGGACAAAGACAAAAAGTGGGACAGAAGTTATTAACAGATGGAACCAAAGCACAACATACCCATCATCATCAGGTTTCTGTACAGGTTACTGGAAGCAAATATAGAATTTAGTGATAAAGAAGCCGTTGGCAGCTGTTTCTTCCTCACCAGCAATCTAGAATCTCTCTCATTACGAAAGTTGGACTGGGCAAAAACATTTGCTTCAGTTCTCATTTCTTAATGAAAGCTCTATTTTAGCTACTATAGAAACTCAGATTTCTATGCTAGACTTCCTGATATGTATAATACTAATTGAAACAAGTGCAGCAAAAGGAAGGCGAAGACTCAAGGGAGACACCTCTGAAATAGCCTCTGACACCAGATAATAGAGGCAAAGCTTTGATTTGATGACTAAGATTGGGTGCTTTTTCTGCTTGGAAACCTGCAAAGTAGGAAGCCAAACAAGTCTTCCAGCAAACAAAGTAACTCAGTTCCACTAATCAAAAGTTGCAAACTGGTTAAACCTATGCCCAGGCAGACCATGACAAGATAAATAAAATCTCTTCAGTATGGACCCATGAAAAAAACAACAGTCCTCTGGTTGCAAACTTGCCATGACATCCCAAAGCATTTTTGTCACAGACAGAACAAGCTTTCCTACGCATTCACTATCTCCTATTCAGCATTGAGGTCGCCTTCCTTGAATGGAGAAATCTCCTTACATCATGAATCCACATAGCTCCCAGCTCATCATGACACATTTGATTATCTGTCAAATTAAACAACAGCCTGAGCAAAGAGACCATAGGAATCAATTATCCTTTATCAAGATAAGTATCTGCAGGGAAACATGCCCCCCAGCAGCCAAAGACAATAGATGTGGAACTCACACAAAGGACTTGTGACTGAAAAAAAGAAATCTGCATAGCTACATGTCACAATGCTCAAGCAAAGGAAGAGAGATTGGCCAATGTTCCTTCAATCAAGAACATTTCTGAATTTTTACCACAGCTCTGGGATGCCATTCACAAGCCTGATTTCCACATTAACCCTTCTTAACACACTACAAAGTCACCTTGTGGTGAGGTGTAGTGTAGTATCCCCATTTATTAAGCCCCTTCATAATGTTGCTCCTCCCTTCTATGGTGGTGCTGCAAAAATTAACCAGCCTACTAATTATTTTATCTTGCATGATCCTTTCCCCACGGACAAATCATGTCTAGTGTTATTTTATTTATTTTTTTCAGGAAAGATGTCAGTCTTAATGGGTCGACTGTGAGTCTCGATATCTCTCTCCCTGTCCTCCCCTCTCCTATCAAAAATGGTTAAAAAGAATGAAGGAACTTTGTACACACACTGAAGTCACCATAGAAATAAACATCCTGGTGTGTAAACACAATGGAAAAGGTGGGAGCAAGACACCAAGACCTTCGCAGGAAAGGGAGGGGAGTCCATGCATCACTCAAGGGTGAACAAGGATAGGATAAAATGCCCCCTTTTGTTTTCTCTGCAGTCCCCAGCCCAGGAGCACAAGCACACTCAATGCATCTATTTGCATTTTCAGCCTGACTCTCTAGTTCCTTTTCTACAAAAAATAATGCGTCAAAGTAGTATTGCAACCTATTAACAACAACAACAACAACAAAAATATTTTTTGTTACCAAGCACTAAAGTACTACCTTCAAAACTTTCAGTCCAATAAAGAGCTCAGATTGTGATCCTGGACCTATGCCGCCGCTTGCAGCCCATTCCTGTACGGCTGCCGTTCAGCCCCTTCATTTTTCGTGCTTCCCCAAAGCGAGCGAATCCGGATTTTAAAAGTGCTTCGAAGCAGTAAACATTGCAACTATTCTGAGGAAGTCCTTAGCATGCCGCGATCACCCGCCCGCGGGGCCAGACCCAGGATGATCCGGGAACCGGAATCCGCTCCTCCCCACACTCCCCCACCCCTCCGGGTCTTACTTCGAGGCAGTTACTCCACGCCACGGAGAAGGTCCCACTTAGCCAAGGTCAGCCTTCTGCTCCCATCTCCTTTTCTTTGCCCGGAAGGAGGACCCAAAAAAACCCCCTTCTCTTTTCGCAGAGAGAGAGGGGAACCGAACCACCCCCCAGAACTGTCATTTGGTCATCCACGGAAGGTTCGGCTCTAAAAGTCACCGGTGGCAGCTGTAGCAGCAGCCACGGAGAAGGGCTGCCCATACCTGCATCCTTCCCGAATGCCAGCTGATCGTTTCCAAAAACCTCCGCGGGGATTGCTGCCCATTTACTCCACCTCCCATTTGCCCCGACGCCCGGCTTCCCCACCCTCCCCGCTCAAAGCATCCCCTCCCTGCCTATTCACGCATCTCTCAGCTCTGCTGATTGCAACTAAGCGTTTGCAACTAAACCCTCCGGAGGGTTAGTTTTGCACCCGAGAGAGACTGATCAACTGAACCCCTGCGCCTGCCTCTCCCGAGCCATTCTGGACTGCCGCCCATTTCCCCCACAATGCCCTTTGGGGACGGATCTACCTGTCGGGCGCCTCCTCCCTGAGTCTCGTCCTCCAGGCCCATCCTAGGGCCGTAGCAAATCGTTGCAAATCGGACCCGGTAGATCTGGGATTCGAGACGTCCGCGCCGCACTCAGTCCGCCGGGTTGCAACCCCAATTCTCCATCGCCGGGCCAAGGGAAAAGTACAGCCTCCAGCTTCAAGACTGGGCGAGAAACTTTCAAGCTCCGCCTCCGCCCGTCTTGCAACACCCTCGCCTGGCGCTTTAAGAGGGAAGCTGCGAGGATCCAAGCGGCATCCCCCCCCCCAAATGGGCACCTGACTCTCTGCCCTCCCTGCATCCCTCCCTTACCAGCGTTCACGTTTGATTTCGAAACCTCCCTCGACGTTCAGGACGTCCTTCAGAAATCTGGCCAAACCCCACTTAACGTTTATTCGTGAGCGTGCACGTGCAGAGAGTGACAGGCTGCAACCTGTTTGTGTGTGTGTGTGTGTGTGTTTTGTACTTGTTTTCCTTTAAAAGTTCTTTGGTGCTGCTGCTCCTTTAATTTAGCATCCCAAATTATGGAATAGCTTCTCTGGGGAGCAAAGGAGGAGTGGGGAAGCGAAGACTAGAGAAAGCAGCTAGCAGATTTCCCTCCCTCCCCTCTGTCTAGTGATACCTTTTCCCAGGCTATCACTAGCTGTATACAGATAGTCCTTGATTTACAACGGTTCACTTAGTGACTGTTCAAAGTTATAACAGTACCCAAAAAAAAAAGTGAGCTATGACCGTTTTTCACAGTTACGACCTTTGCAGCAACGCCATAACCGTGTGATCAAAATTCAGATGCTTGGCAACTGGTTCGTGTTTATGACCGTTGCTGTGCCCTAAGGCAGGGGTGGGCAACTGTGGCCCTTTTACAACCTGTAAAGCTTGGCTGTCTCAGGAATTCTGGGAGTTGAAGTCCACAGGTTGTAAAAGGGCCACAGTTGCCCACCCCTGCCCTAAGGCCTTCTGATCCCCTTTTGTGAACTCCTGACAGCAAAGTCAATGGGGAATCCAGATTTAACTTAACAACCGGGTTACTAACTTATCAACTGTAGGGATTCACTTAATAAGTGTGGCAAGAAAGGTTGAAAAATGGGCCAAAACTCACTTGACAACAGAAATTTTGGGCTCAACTGTGGTCATAAGTCGAGGACTGCCTCTAAAGTCTTTTTTAACATCAGTACAACATAGATTCATCCACTGTAGATAACAACCAATTCACAGATAGGTGTTCGTTTTATTGCTAACTTCCTTAGTGGGTGAGTGAATAAGCCATTCCAGGCCATGGCACTGCCAGGCTTAAGCGGGCCTTAAGGCAAGATATTTGTGTGAGGAACAACATTATTGACACAAGCAATATTCAGTCCTAATTTTCCTTCAAAATCCACATAAAAAACACACACACACACGCTCAGAAATCCTGGCACTGTTCATATACTTGACACAGTTTTGGCCATTCTGCATAATCTTCCATTTTATAGAATAGAATAGAATAGAATAGAATAGAATAGAATAGAATAGAATAGAATAGAATTCTTTATTGGCCAAGTGTGACTGGGCACACAAGGTATTTGTCTTGGTGCATATGCTCTCAGTGTATCACATCATGGTTTCCCAAAAGTTGGAAAGTGTGGCTTTAGGAGTTTGCAAAAGTTTCTATTGTGCAGCTGCAGCTGCCATTTTGACTTTTTTTTTGACACTCGCCCACCTGACAGATGTCTCTCCTAGCTATTGAAAGGTTGTCTACCCTACTTTTAAACTTTGCCAAATCCCTTTTTGTTAGCTTGCCTCATTGGTATGTGATATAGATAGTGTACCACATATGCCCATGGGTACAGGACATCACTTACTATAACATCTGCATCATTTTCACTTTAAAGGGCATGGAAAGCTCATGTTCCAAAATATTTCCTGGACTGGTTCATATGCTTATCTTGATCTGTATGATCCCATAGAACAGAGAATTATTCGTTAGTTCTTCAATTGGCTGGACTGTATGCAACAGCTGGAAATATACTGCCAGTTGTAGAAATCAGGTTTTAGGTGCAAAACCTGGTTGATGCAGCCTTGCATAACTGATTACTATAGCCCCACCCCACCCCACCCCCACCGTCTATAAAAAGGCATAATTTCTTGGCAGAAAGCCAACTGAAGGGGATTACCATCAGCTCTTGGGGCTCATGCTGTGTGGAAGGAAGTGTAGAATTAGAATAAGGAGGAAGGTAATTTTCCGGGCCATGTGCACTGCTATAATTGCCCAGTAACTAGAGAAGTAAACAAGGTGACACTATTCTTCAAGTGGTGTTGTATGATGTCCTATGGGGAAGACTGCCTGCATTCTCCCAGGAAAAGCAAATAAGCACCATGAACTTCTAAAAGACTACATAGCAAAAAGCAGTGATTAATTTTGTCCACGAGCTAAGTTGAATCTACTCCTTCTTAAACTTCCTTTAAAAAGTATTTTAGAGCAAACTTTTACTTCAGTAGTAAGCTCGTGTCCGCTTCAGATTCTGCATTTCTTTTGAATACTTACTGTATATCTGAACCCAATGAAAAACAACACAAGACTATTTCATACTTCCAAAGTAACATATCGATTATTGTGTGACATTCTAATTTGGTTTCCAGGCCATAAGATTTGGTTTCATGGACTTAACTGTCAAGTAAACAACTATGTGCTTATGGGGTTACTCATAGTCCTCATTTGCAGTTGTAACTGTTGAAAAACTTAATTTGCCACCAATCTACACATTTATGATTTTTGCAGGTATGTAAAGCAAAGGAAAGCTGAAATAAAATCGCAAGTCCAGTTACGATTTCACTTGATGACAACTTAACTGGGTTGCTCATCCCAATTGTGGTTGCTACTAAACAAAGACTGAACTAATATTAGTTGGGTTTTTGATAGTAGAGATTTTAATTTGAAATAAAGCGTGTCTAGTTCAAATGACAGCTAGATGCAGATTTGGAATGGTCTGTTCCCCTTTATTATTGGTTTTTAAGTCTTGTTATATATGGTCAACAGGCCATATAGAAGACCAAAGTAATATAATGTGGAGGTGATATATTGGTAGGATTCAAGGTAGGATGGGCTGCATGTTGTTCTTTGGTAAAATGAGAACAAGAACATGTGATCTTTGAGATAAAAGGGAGTATTCATTTTAAGAGTCCTTTCAGCCACTGCAGAAAAGATTGGTAGGCTATCAGTTCCTTCCTCCTCAGTTCCCAGATGTGGGGGAGGGGAAAGCTACTACAGACATAGTAGGAAGGGGCTTACTTACTTGTCCTCCATTTTCTACCTCCATCTCACTCATATGTGGCTGTGGAGAACACGATGCCACAGAAATGAAATTCCTAGACCTGCCCCATTTCTTTGGGCCTTCCCCCCCACCCTCAGAAGTGGAAAATTATCCACCCTTTGAGTTGGCAGAAAACAATATTAGCATTAAGTTAGATATTCCCACTGCCAATTAGTATCCTGGCTATTAAATCAGAAGAAAAACATTTCCAGAAAATGTCAAAAAGGCTTTTGTACTGTTGTTAAGCAAACAACATGAATGTATCCCTGAAATTATAGTTAAATTCAACTTAAAGGAAACAGTACTTTTTGACAGTTCTGTTTTTCTTCAAAAACTACCTAGATTTGGGGAGGAAAGAAATCCAGATGTGCAGGATTATAATGATCAGACTAGGGGAATACTTTCAGGAATTCCTTTGCTTACAGACAATTCACAGACTGTTATTCTAAGACACTCACACAAATGTTGATTCATCAGATATTGTTCAGCCATAGTTCCCATCATCCTCCCTAGTGCTTATATGGCAGTGCACCTGCTTGCCTTAACATTGATTTAACTTACACCGGTGACCACTAAGTTCTTATGACTTAGCAAAAGCAACTCAGGCTGTATGCCTATTCAGTAAGCAATGACTTAAATGCTTTGGAATAACATATTGAGTGAACACAGCCTGGATTGCAGACATATTTAAAAGGGTTCTTTATTATAGCCTGGGTCATCCTAGGCCAGGACTCTGCGGCTCCAGAGCTGCATGGGGCTCTTTGGGCCCTCTGCGATGGCTCCCTGTCGGGTGATCCCAACACTGGCTGGCCCCGCCCCTCGCCCTCCCCTCCCAGTCACTCCTTGCCTGGCCTGAGATGGTAAGGGCAACGGCAGGGGATGGAGAAGCGGCCAGGGCAGAGACAGTGAGATACAGAGAGAGGGGGAGAGAGGAAGACAGAGAGATACAGAGAGAGAGGGAGAGAAGGGGGAGAGAGGAAGGGAGGGGAGAGAGAGATGTCAGAAGGA